AATGTAGAGCGATGCAACTATTCTCCCAAAAGCTACAGCTAATAAGAGAGGCACGACCAAACCCAAAATAGAAAATAGTTCAGTAAATTTGGGTGACTCAATCAATTCATCTAAAAGCTATAGTTAGCAGGAGCAATCAATCACTCTTTTATCAATGCCAATCTACTCTATGTTTGGAAATTGCTTCGACAATACCTTAATAAATACTTCGCCCAGCCTACCCTGGTGTTCAAATGATTCTCGTATCGCATTCATATTCATATCAATTATCAAATCCACCCAAAAAACCAAAAACCAACGAATATGGTGAAATGGGTATCATACCAGGACAGCCCGATGGGCAGGAACGGAGGGAAAACTGGACTGAGGATTGGCAGAATCATTCGGACCAGAGATGATTATTAATTCAACGTCAGAGAAGGCAAATGTATTAGACCTGGAAATGGCGATAAGCCCACCAGCCCCAGTGCAGAAAAGGCGGAGGAAATTGACCTTGGCTTTGAGGTCCTCGATCTCGAGCTCCTTCTCCGTCTCGCCGGCCTTTGCAGAGCATTCCGAGCTCGCTCCAATATAACGTGGATAGTACTCCTCGCGGTTCGCCATTCCCCTCCTCCGCCGTCGCGCCGCCGCAACGGATCGTTCTTCTTCGTTGTCGTCTTAGTCTTCTCACTCGTCTTCCTGCTCGTCACCGAAGTCTATGTCGGGGTCCGATGAAAATCGCCGCCTCCGGTGTAGGTTATGTGACTTACGTCGCATTTTCCTCTATTTATATTTGCTCTCTACCTTTTGTGCCTTTCTTGCAAGGTGGGCTTTTTGTCTTTGGGAACTTTACCCAAAAATGCGACTTATGTACAAATTGGGGTAGATCGGAGAAACTTTAACTGTAGAGGATCTGAATTTTAAGAGTTGTAGCAAACTTGGTTTCAACTTTTGAAAAGGAATAGTTGGCCCCTTACATGTTGATATTGTTGTACAATTGGTCCTTGTAGAAATTTGTATTCGTATTTATGTTAAAACCACGACTCTGTTAAAAACAAGATTATATATTTAAGAAAAGAGATGAACAAAAGAAACGTTGGAAATGCCTCGTAGTGCAACTACTGTGTTGGCCAATATATATGTCTAGTTTTGATACATAATTTGTTTGAAAGCATGTTTTTGAAATGTGGTCTTCTCCTTAAAAAGTAGTCGTACACAATTAATTTTCTAGTTTAAGCTTTTCACAAAACATTCTTTGTTATTTGAGTGCAAAACTTAAAACCATCATCGGTAATCCCACCAACTTACACTTTTATCGTTCAGGCTTTTGTTGCTATTCAATATACAATGAAATAATGATATTTCTTCTCTAGAGCTCTCTACGGTTAGGGGCGGACCCACATGGAGTCTTGTGGGATCAATTGATCCCATAAATATATATATTCGTTACCTAAAAAAGAGGAAGCGAAAATGAAGATTCGACAAGTAAAATATGAGGTGGAAATGGAAATGGGAAAGAGAAATTTTCATGATGGGATTAGAGAAAGTAAAGTTCTATGCTTTCTTGCCTTGCGTTTATGAACTTGGAATTTCAATCTCTACGTTTGGTACTCTTTCTAAGGATTTCTTCTCTCCCAAATTCTTTTTCCCTCTTCCAACCTTACTTGAATACATTTATTGGAAATGACTCACTTCCAGAAATTTTTTTCTCTCTCTTCTTTCTTTTTTGAATTATTATATTTTAGTTCCGAGCTATTAAATATGTCGAATTATCAAACAATCTAGCACTCGCATGCACTACACCACTCATAGAAAGCACAACCTACAAGCTGAAAAACAATTGAACGTGATTAAAGAAGAAAGTAATGTAATAAAAAGTTTTTATAATTCAGTAAAATATTGATTTGGTGACTCAATTTTTAAGTAGCACAACTTGAATTGTCATAGCTCGTACGTATATATTGAAAAAAAATGTACTCAATGAAATTGACAATGAAGATATTATATGACATTAAAAGTAAGAAACCCAATAATAAACAACTGTAGTTATGTGATTTAATATTACAGTTTTGTCTTATTCGGGAAAAAAAAAAATTCGTAGTTAGATTTTGACTCCACCGAGTCTGAGTTCTATGTAAAAGAAAACTGAAGAAACTTGATGTTCTTGTAAGTTAAGGCGCACTACCAATGGTTTATGCACAATCGAAGGTCATCAATCTAAATCGTGGTGATAAACTTGGAAATAAAGTTATAGAAGGCCAAGATCACGAGGAAGCTTAGGTTCAGAGGTGGTGGGGGGGGAGGGGGTGCTCAAAATGATGGTGTGGTGTTGGGTTGGGTGGGAAGTGGCTGAGTTTCTTTCACTGGTGTGTAGTCAGAGGCGGCTCAAGTGATTTCGAAGCTTTAGGCGAAAATTTGAAGCAAGAGTAACTGCTGTGTTCGACCAAGTTCTAGCTCTATCAACCTTCCTCATGCCAAAACAACTTAGCCACTGCAAATATGACATGATGATCCTGGTTACATCTTTTGTATGCATCTTTGCTCTTAGTTTTTTGCTCAAGCCTGGGCACCATCTCAATTTAAGCAGCCCAGAGAATAGCAGTAGCGGGGCAGTCCTGCAATGTATTTGCTACCAAAATATCAGCTTCCTTCTTAAGCAGAGGTCATTTGTAAGCCCTCACATATTAAGACCAATTTATGTTTAGAGGCCTCGTTTCTCGGACGTCATTCACCAGTACTCGCTCATTAGAGCCACTTCGTGAGTCCTCGTATATTGAGATCGACTTATGTTTATAGGCTATATGTAAGTCTTCGTGTTTATGAGATTGTTCACCTATACTTACTTAGAGGTTGACTCATTATTCATAGGTAATTCATAAATCCTCGCCTAGTTGATGACATCTTATATTTCAAAGATTCATCACGAGTTTTAAAATGCTCGGGGCAATCTGGCAAAATTTGCATTCGTACCACAACTTTGTTGAAAACTCAATTCTATCTTTAAGAAATAGAAAAATAGAAGAAATGCCAACAATGCTTCTTAGTGCAACCATTGTCGTTGCAAATATACATATCTAGTTTGACAGTCTTGTTTTAGTTGGAAACTTAATTTTGACATGCTAGTTTTCTTCTTACAATTTAGTCTCCTGCGACCAATTTCCTAATTTAAGTTGTTTTGTGATACATGTATGTGTTATTTTA